CCCCCCCCGCGCCCCTGCCCCCGCCCTGGGGACGAGGAGCAGGAAGAGTCCCTGAGGCCGCGCCCGGCCCCCTGCCACCGCCCTGGGGACGAGGAGGAGGGAGAGTCCCTGAGACCGCACCTGGCCCACTGCCACCGCCCTGGGAACGGGGACGAGGGAGAGTCCCTGGCGCGCCCCCCCGCCCCCTGCCACCGCCCCTTGGGACGAGGAGGAGGGACAGTCCCTGAGGCCGTGCCCAGCCCCCTGCCACCGCCCCTTGGGACGAGGAGAAGGGAGAGTCCCTGAGGCTGCGCCCGGCCCTCTGCCCCCGCCCCTGGGGACGAGGAGGAGGGAGAGTCCCTGAGGTCGCGCCCGGCCCTCTGCCACCGCCCGTGCGGAAACCCAGCAGGGCTGGTGTGTCTGGGCTGTGGGAAGCGTCCTGTCCCTGCACAAGGGCCAGCACAGCCCTGTGCGGGGGGGACGGTCCCGGGGGAGGAGATGATGCTCCATGTGCTTAAGGAGGCAGCCCACCCTAGAGGGCTCAGCTGAGTGCTGGGTGTCGGGATGTCCCAAGTTCAAATCCGGATTCGGCCAGGGATTCCCCGTGCCCGTAGGCATTGGTGCCGATCGTCCCTAGCTCTGACCTCGGGACCGTGTCTGTAGCTCTGACAGCACCTTGCCAAAGAGGGGGATCGATGCCCCCATGGTACACCTGGGGAAACCGAGGCACGGAGCCATGACTTACCCATGGTCACCCAGTGGCAGAGATTGGAATAGAACCCAAGCTTCATTCCTCTCAGTCCAGTGCTCCAGCCAGTAGGCAATGCTGCCTCCGCCTTGCCACGCAAGGGAGGCTCAGCCCGGGGAGTAGGCCAGTGGGGCTGGCTGCAGTGACCTCTGTGTGCTCCCTCCCCAGTACCACATGCGGATCCATAAGGAGGAGCGGAAATACCTTTGCCCGGACTGCGGCTACAAGTGCAAGTGGGTGAATCAGCTGAAGTACCACATGACCAAACACACGGGTGAGTGCCGGGGGTGGGGAGGGAGGCCTAGCGGCCCCACAACTGGGCTGGCGCCAGGCGCTGAGCCCTGCGGGGGCAGGGCTGTTCCAAGGGGCTCGTCTCCCACTTGGCGCCTCTGCAGCCAGCAAGTAGCGCACGAGGTGCTGAATCCCCGTGGGGAGAGGCCCCTGCATCCTCGCCCGCTGCTTTCCCAGGGCCCGTGCGCCTGTTGTGCCCGGGGCCTGACAGCCCGTCATGGCATGCTGCCCGCGGGCTCGGGACAGGCGGCGTGTCTCCTTGGGGCTGCTCTCTGGGTGAGGGCTGCTCGTGGCTGGCCCAGGGCAGTGAGCTCCCTGGAGGAGGCAGAGACTTAGCTGGGGAGCCCAGGCAGGGGTGGCCTGAAAGTTTTCCA